TTCTTTGATAATCTTATATTATCAAATATACTTGTATCATAACAAGTAATAATAACATCTTTATAAATACCCATTCGTTTATTATCAATGATATCACATCATTGTAATCAATAGACATTGCTATTCTTGCAGTATTGATTAAGATGTTTTTCTAACCAAATGCACATCATAATCAGTCCATAACTGGTAGATTTGAATGATGGAAATATTTAGTGGAGTGTGTGTGGTGTTGTCTCTGACGTGCTACCTTCGAATCAATAATGAATGAAATATAAAATAAAATGAAATATTTAATAATTATGAATTTATTAAAAATAAAAATAAATAACATTTTATTTTATTTCTTATTATTTATTGTTTTTCATAACAAATATCAATTAATAAAAATAGAATGATGATAAAGAATAAAAAAGAAGAAATTAAAATATAAAAATAAAAGAACTAATAAAAACAACTAATAAATAATAAACCAATAATGAAATTAGGATATAATGAAATAATGATAACATCAATGTATTTTAATGATATTAATGATTTTATTAATTTAGAATTAGGAGTTAAAAGATTTAGAGGAAATATTGAACGATTTCATTTTAATCCAATTCCATTAAATGAATATTCAAGAAGATTATTTGCTAATATTGAAACATTTCATATTTATAATAAAAAAGATAAAATATTTAATGATGGAAAAATATTTAAAAAAGTAATATGGTATACAGTAGATTATTCAGAATATTTACAAGAAAAAGAACAAGGAAATATCTGTAAAAATATAGAATATACAAAAGAAGATAGAAATACATATGGAAATACAATACCATCAGAAGTTAAATCACTTGGATATAAATGTTTTGATGAATGTTATTCATTAACATCAATTAACATACCATCATCAATTAGTTTTATAGGAGATGATTGTTTTTCTGGATGTTCATCATTAACATCAATTAATATAGATAATCTACAATATATTAGTAAAGAAAGAATATTTATGAATGAACCAGTGTTAGTTAGTATTGAAATACCAAAAAATATACAAATAATCAATGGAAAGAATATAAAAAAGAAAGATATTAATGAATTTATTATTCCATCTTCAATTACTAAGTTAGGAGAATATTGTTTTTCTGGATGTTCAACACTAACATCTATAACTATACCATCATCAATTAGTGAAATAGGAGATAGTTGTTTTGATGAATGTATAACATTAAAATCAATTAATGTACCATCTTCAATTAGTGAAATAGGAAATTGGTGTTTTTATGAATGTACATCATTAACATCAATTATTATACCAACGAGTATTAGTGAATTAGGATATGATTGTTTTAAAGGATGCTATTCATTAACATCAATTAATTTACCATCATCAATTAATGAAATAGGATATGAATGTTTTAAATATTGTTCATCATTAACATCTATTAATATACCATCATCAATTATATCATTTGGAGGTGGATGTTTTTATGGATGTGGATGTGAAGAAGAATTAATGAAAAATGAAACAAAAGCAAGAGATTGTTTTGATGAATGGTGATGAAT